TGACGATATATATATATATATATATATATATATATATATATATATTTTGTTGTTTTGTGGCCCGGGTCGGGCAAGTGGTCCCGGGCCACTCTGGTAGCCTAGCCTCAGAGTTGTTTTCTTACTTAGTGGGTTCGAGCTCAGGTCTGTCTATCACCAGGTGATGGGTGATCCATTCGGCCACACTTTGCTTTTTTCTGTTTTTTTTCGGTTTGGTGGTCATTTGTACCGCCCAGCCCATGTAGCATCGCCCACCTACCCCACACTGTACCAGCTAGCCCACATTAGTGCCATCCAGTCCACGTACTGTGATCCACCCCATGTACCACCATCCAACCCACATAGTATCACCTGGGCCACATAATGCCACCCCCGCCCACAAGGTACCACCCAGTCGACATAGTATGACCCATTCCGCATAGTGCCACTTAGTGCACATAGTATGACCCGTAGTATGACCCATAATATGACCCATTCACTATGTGCCACTTAGTCCACATAGTATGACCCATTTCACATAGTGTCGTGCCGCCCCATCCACCTAGTATTACCCAGGCCGCAAAATACCACCGTGCCCAAGTAGTACCACTTAGTGCACATAGTACGATCTGTCCCGCGTTGTGCTGCCCAACCCACATTCCGTGTAATACCGCCTGGTTGACATGTACCCCACGTGATTCGCCAACCTGTATAGTATCACCCAGGTCACATAATGGCGCTCAGCCCGTTTAGTACTGGCTGTGGGAAGGGCCAAATTGTACCTGATGCGGGCCATGTGTGTTTCTTTTTCTTTTTTTTTCGTGGCCATGTTTGTGTTCTTTTGAATCTTTTCTGTTTTTTTTTGGGAGTTTTTATGTTAGTACCATCCACTCCACATAGTATGGCGCGCCCCGCATGGTGCTGCCCGGTCCAATGGTACTATCCAACCTATTTAGCATCACGCAGGCTGTATAATACCACTTAGCCCACATAGTACCATAGCCGGGCCAAGGGTGGATTTGTACTTAAGAGTGTGTGTGTGTGTGTGTGTGTGTTTGTTGCTGTGTGTAGCTCTGTGTATGTGCATGTGAGTGCATTCTTTTTTATGGCTGTGTGCTAGGCTACTTGGCTTGCCCGGCGGTGCACCCGAGGCAAGTCGCCTGGGGGTCAACTGCACGGGGCACCCCGTGCAGGCAAAATCAGCCCTTTTTTTTTTTTTTTTTTTTTTTTTTTTTTTTTCGGTGGAGGTTTTCTGCACATTGCCAGAGGAGCCCAAATCTGGGGTCCTATCTTTTTTTGAGTGTTGACTCTCAAGGGGGGTGAAGGGGGGGTATAAACTGGTTTTTAAGGGGCTTAAGGGGTGGAAAGGTGGGTGCCTTAGTCTGATTCTGTTGTTTTCTTTGTTGTCATCGGTTCTGCGAGGAATTCGGATGTGACCCTCAGCCAAAAGTCGTTTGTATTGCAATCCTCGACAACTTTTTTTGGATTTTTTTTTTGTTTTTTAGTTTTTTATTTTGTTTTTTGGCGTTGGGGCTGCTGTGGAACCCTGCCCGGGGTTCATGCCCGACCGGGCATCCGGGCATGTGTCTGGAGTCTGGACACAAGTTGGGTACCTGGGCGCCCGGACAAACAGCCTAGTGTGTGTGCTAGTACCATGCAATCCGCATAGTATACCCGCCCCTTATGGTACCCACCAGGTCCACGTGATACCGCCCAGCCCACATAATATCACCCATGCCACATGATACTGCCCAGACCACATAGTACTGGCTGGCTGTGCCAAGGAGTGGGTTGTGCCTAAGTTTGGCCATGTTTTGCTTTTTTTTGGTCGCTAGGCTATTGACTACGGAGCGACGCCAAAGTTGTCGATGTCTTTATTAACACAACAAAAGAAAAGTAAAAGGGTTGGTAATACTTGATATTTGAGGGAGAGAAGGCTTTAGTGAGAGATTAAGTATTCTCTTCATCAGTTGATGGTATGTGGAGTCTTTGTTTTCTTTTCAAAAAAAAAGAAGGAAAGAAAAGAAAAAAAAAAGAAATATGCACACACACCCCAAGAGGCAGTCCAAAGGTTACCCCTCATCGTTTCTGTCAATAGTCACTGTCGCTAAATATTTGCATCTCCTCCATTGTTCTCGCTATTATTATTGTTTAAAAAAGATGCCTCAGAGCATAGTCACACTATGTAGGACTTTTTTGACTGAGCTCTGGGCGCGATTGCGGTCACGTGCATCCATGTCCATGCGTATCTGCGGTCAGATGCATTCTGGAAAGTGCTCGTGTGGGTAAACTTAAGACATAGAAACCCTACAACAACCTGCCCCYCCYCCCMCCCCCCCCCCCCCCCCAAAAAAAAAAAAAAAGAAAAAGAAAAAAAAATCGACCCTTCAACCCCCCAAGCATGAACATGAATTTTGGCGTTTTGCGGAACTTTTGCCCCAAAAAGTGAAAACTGGGGGTCCTGGGGATTCCGATTGACCTAACCTACCTACCTACCTATAGTTGGACTATAGCGTAGCAGTATAACAAGTATACTGAATGAGCTAATAGCCTTAATATGTTTTGGATGCTGATCTGCGCTTTTGCTATCCGTGAACCTGATAGAATAGTGGAAATGCAAGAGGAGCTTGACTCTCAGCAGGCACAAGAAGCACTGGAAGCAGATGGTGTGAGTTTGGGAGTGCCGACTCCCAAGGGTCAGCGAACCCCTCCGAGTGGCGGCGGAAGGGGTTCAAAAAGGCCGAGTTACACAGGAGGGACACAAGCAGGGACTGCTGGTGGGGATAAAACACCCTCTGGCTCACCGAAGCAGGGCAGAGGATACAAGGACCGCTGTTTTGCGGAGATCCAAGCTGCCGTACAGGAACGTTTTGCGGTCTTACTTAACAAGGTACGCAGTTGATCGTGACCGATTCAGACAGAAGTCGGTTCCCGTCATGTCCACAAACTGGCACGAAACGTCTACTATTGAGTCTATTGTTGAATTTAAAAAAAATAAAGTTTTCACGTTTAGAACTGGACATTTGATGCTCATTTTTAGCACGAACGTGACTATTTGGTAGTGAGTTGTTGTTGTTGTTTTTAAACCACCGGTACTTGGCCCATACGTCGGCCGCAGGCCAAAGTGCGCTCTCTTAGTTCATAGTTATTTGACATCATATGTGCCGTGGGCTTGGGCCTAGTGGACGAAAATGGCTGGCGGTGCCAGGCAAACGAAGAAAAAAAAAAGTCGCACTGGCGATTCAGCAAAGACTGGCGCCCAGGGCGTTTCCAGCATCAGAGGAAAGTGCTTCGGAAGTGCTGGTGGTTTAAATGGGTATCCCCTAACATTACTATCATGTAATACACAAGACAACCCGATGCCCTCCGTGGCTACACCTGTCGTTCACACCTGCTCCTCCTCCTCCTCCTCCCCGTTCTTTGCCACCTCCTCTCCGTCCTTCTCCCTTTTTTTTTTTTTTTTTTTAATGTTTGTATTATGAGCCTGCATTGTTTGTTTCCAAAATTTTCCACCACGTTGTTTGTGGCGATGCGCTGAAAAACACCGAATTTTTGTCTTACCATTAACCATCTCTCATCTTCCGACTGCCCACCGGGTCTATGCCTGATCTGCTCCATCGTCAGGGCGCACCATAGGAAAAGGAGGCTTCTCTATTGTAAACCGCCAGTACGATGGCCAGGCCAACTTCTTCTTTTTTTTATTTTTTATTTTTTTTGAAATAAAAAAAATGGCCAGGCCAACTTGAGAATTGGAAATGAGTCATCCGAAAAGTTTGGATGTAACAGTGCTGCCGGACCAAAATGGCTGGCGGCGCTAGCCGAAAGAAAAAAGAGCACCGCGCTGGTGTTTCAGCAAAGCGTGGTGCACAGGGGGAATCCGCCTAGGCAAAAAGAGGCTGGGATGTATTGGTGGTTGAAGTTCTATAACTTATTAATTTCTTAAAATAGAAACTCGAGTGCCTTTTTTCCCCCAAAAAATCCTGCATCCCAATCGGGAGGTTTTCATGTTACCAGACGGAGGGGATCTCTTTGTCAATCCGATCGACGGCCATCAAAGGAAAATCGTCGCCGTCGTCGTTTTCTGCCATGGATCGGACTTTGCGAAGGAAATGCTGATTATCTGCAGGTATCAGGTGGCCCATTTATTGCAAAGCCCCTCAGTGATGGGTTTGGTGCATAGGCCCTGCGCATTTAACTGGCAGAGAACCTACCTGCCCTTTCTGCTTCAGCTCATTCTCTCACGGATGATGCCACTTGAGATGCGCGTTACCGTCTTCCCCGAGGGGCCACGACTGGCCTCAACCGAATAGAATGCCCGGTCATCATAGCTGTATTTGGGGCAACTTTCAGTCCGGATGCGGCGGTAATGACCGGGCGTTCTATTCGGGTGAAGACGGTAATGTGGCTCTGCAAACTGGAGCTGCCTTGCATTGACTCAAAAAAAAAGGAAAAAGGAAAACAACCTCTCATCAGCTGCCGCAGTGTCCTCTGTGTTTGCTGAGGCAAAGTCAGCAAGCACTGAGGACTGAGGACAGCAGGCTTGGTTAAGAGTGATTCCAGACTGCTTTGTGCTCAAAATGTAGGTAGCTTCTGGGTGTGCTCATGACTGACGGGTATCGTCATTGCAAAACTGACACACACTGTAAGGTGAGAACTGCCTCCTGTCCTCAGTGCTTGCTAACTTCGCATCTCCTTTTCTTGCTTGTGCAGCTTGTTGTGGAAGATCTAAATGCAGCTTTGCTGGAGGCTACTTCGGTAAGACCACAGGGACGTGACACTTCCGTCATTATGTTAACTGACCTCAACTCTTAGTTCTGCATTCCAACTGAGATTTCCCGCTCTTGTTCATGAGGGTACAATTGGTGTCTGATTTTTATCCCCTTTCCTCTCCCCCTCTCCCCCTCTCCGAATTCTTTCCTTCTCCCTCTCTCTCTCCCTCACCCTCTTTCTCCCTCTCCCCGCATGCTCCCCCTCTGTCCCCCTCTCCCTCTCTCCCCCTCTCTCCCCCTACCCCTCTGTCTCCCAACTCTTTCTCCCTCTCGTCCTCTCTCCCCTTCCCCACCCC